TCTCTCTCTCTCTCCTCCCTCCTCCTTCCTCCCTCTCTCTCTCTCTCTCTCTCTCTCTCTCTCTCTCTCTCTCTCTCTCTCTCTCTCTCTCTCTCTCTTTTCGCTCTTCCCTCTTCCTCCTCTATCTCTCCTTCGAACACTCCACCATCCAATCACCTTTTTTTTTTTTTTTGTTGGTAGCCACAGGGCCATTCGCTCCGCGCGACACCTTCCTCCTTCTTCGTCCATCTCTCCCTCCTCTTCTCCCACTTATCGTTCGTCCATCTTTCCCCCCTCCTTCATCCCTTTCTCTCTCCTCCTCTCTCCCTTCTCCTTCATCCATCTCTCCCTCCTCCTTCCTCCCTCTCTCTCTCCTCCTTCTTCGTCCATCTCTCCTACTCCTTCTTCGTCCATCTCTCCTACTCCTTCATCCCTTTCTCTCTCCTCGTCTCTCCCTTCTTCTTCATCCATCTCTCCTACTCCTTCATCCCTTTCTCTCTCCTCATCTCTCCCTTCTTCTTCTTCCATCTCTCCCTCCTCCTTCCTCCCTCTCTCTCTCCTCCTTCTTCGTCCATCTCTCCTCCTCCTTCATCCCTTTCTCTCTCCTCGTCTCTCCCTTCTTCTTCATCCATCTCTCCTCCTCCTTCATCCCTTTCTCTCTCCCAGTTTCTCCCTTCTTCTTCATCCATCTTTCCCTCCTTCCTCCCTCTCTCTCTCCTCCTTCTTCGTCCATCTTTCCCTCCTCCTCCTTCCATTTCTCCTTCCTCCCTTTCTTCCTCCTTTCTCCCTCCTCCTTTGACCTTTTTTTTTTTTTTTAGTTTTATGTTTGATTGAACGTTGCACAGCAGGGGAGGATTAGCGGGCATTTGCAACTCAGTGTGCATTTTTTTTTTTCATTTTTATGCTTGCTTGAACGTTGTGCAGCAGGGGAGGATTAGCGGGCATTTGCAAAGCAATCTGATTTTCTTGTCTGTTTTTTTCTTTTGTTTTTTTTCGTGGTATGCCCACTGCGATGTTGCACATTTGAGGGGGATTGGAGGGGAGATAGGGGAGGGGGGGCGAGGGGAATGATTTGACGAGGGGCAGACCTGTGTTTGACGTTGTGGCCTTCCCCGCTATGCAGGTGACAGCGACAATGGCTCCCTCTCATCAAAAGCAGCTGAAAGAGGACTTGAAGACGCACTTCACGGAYGATGGTCCCGCRGGGAGGAACCCAGGAAAAGGGTCCAAGCATTGGATTTGCAAGTACTGCGAGACCCGATTCGACGGGACGGCGTCGCATCTGAGAACCCACTTCCTGAAGAAGTGCAGCCTGGACCTCCTGACTAGACCGTTGTCCGTGGAGGAGAGGGCGAGAAGGGCGGAGGGGATTCGCATGGGGAAGGCCCTCGGAGAGCTCATTGAAAGGGGGGAGAAGAGTTCTACGCTGACGAGCAACCTGCCATCTGCCAGTAGTCTAGTCACCGGACCGATACGTGCATGTAGTGGAGCGGCTGATGCTGGTGGTGTACCATTGCGGGTGGCGACTTCTGGGGAGTGCGGCCGTGCAGCGCCCCAAACAGGTCGACCAATGAGGCAAACGCTTATCGAGGATGCGGACAGCATCATTACTCGTAATGAACACACGAGCCGCTTCCTCGATAACTTCCTGTTCTGCACGAACCAACCCTTCAGTCTCGTTGACAACGAGTACTTCCTCGAGTTCATTGACGCGGTCAAGAAGGCACATCCATCATGGCTGCCATACCACAGGGATGACGCACGAACGAGGAGGTTGGACAGTGCGTTTGGAAGGACGAGAGCAGATGTGACCGCCATGACCACGAAGTGGCAGGTAACGGGCTGCATGCTTCAGATGGACGGTTGGTCTGATAGACGCAATCGCCCCCATCTGAATGTGATGGTGTCGTCCCCGATCGGGACTGTCTTTTGGAAATCAGTGTGCATGGAGGGGAAAGACAAAGACTCGGCGGCGTATTTCAAGATCCTTGATGGAGTAATGAAGGAGATCGGGTCAAACGCAGTGGTTGGCGTTGTCATGGACAATGCAAGAGTGTGTGTGAAGGTGGGTAAGATGGTGGAGGCCGCTTACCCTCAGATTTTTCGTGTCGGCTGCACAGCGCATGCCCTCGATTTAGCACTTGAGGACATGTACAAGCAGCTCGGTTGGCTGGCGGTGGTCGTCGACACCGGCAATGTAGTCGGCAAATTCTTCACGAATGTGGAGAAGGCGAGGGCTATGTTCGACAAATTCTCGCCGAATTTGAAGTTGAAGCGGCCGGCGTTCACGCGATTTGCCACGAGTCACGACATGCTGGCTTCGTTGACGAGAGGGAGGAATGAACTCGAGAAGTGCGTCTGCGACACGGCGTGGGTGGACAAGATGGTGAGGGCGGATCAGCTCGCCGCTTTCTGTGAGGTCACCTCCATTGTGCTGGGAAGGGACGGGTTTTGGGACAAGGTGGAGAAGGCCCTCGGAGTGATGTCTCCTGTTGTGGAGCTGTTGCGCCTGGTCGACGGGCCAGGCGCAACAATGTCGAAGGTCTACTTCAAGATGGATGCGCTAGTCGAGAGAATGCGCGGCCTCGAGTGTGTCACCCCGGGTGAGAAGGCCGACATCGAGGACATTCTAATGCATCGGTGGTCATTCATGACGAGTGAGCTGCACTGCGCGGCTGCCTTCCTTGACCCGAAGTTCCGGCACAATGCATTGGCAGAGCGGGATCGGGAGGTTCGTGCGGGGTTCAACATTTGGTTGTACTCGTGGGCGCCGAAAGATAAACCCACCCTCGACGAACTGAGCCGGCAAGTTGATGACTGGACCAAACTGCGTGGGTCATTCAACATACGAGAGGCAGCGGAGGCGGCGCATGTGAAACCAGCGGCCTTGTGGTGGGAAGCATTTGGGGGAAAGTTGGACCTTCTGCAGCCGCAAGCCGTCAAATTGCTTGGCCAAGCAAGCTCGTCCGCTGCATGTGAGCGGAATTGGAGCTTGCATGAGCTCATTTTTGGAAGACGGTGCACGAAGCTCATGCTGGAGAGACTGTCAAAACTGGTGTTCAACAACTGGAACACCCAATTGATCCAGAGTTACATCTGCGGCGGTAAGGAGGAGGTCCACATCCCTTGGGAGGATGACCGACCGGTGCAGGCGGAAGTTGAGGAGTGGTACAACACGTGGGTGGCGACGGCGGTGTCCAATGACGATGACGCAGCAGCCACGCTCGATGACGCGCAGGTGGGAGAGGAGGATGGGGACGAGCCACTCATGCGAACTTGGCTGCGAAATGACGAGTGGGATGACCAAGAGTGTGAGACGGAGGACATAGCCCTCGTGGGCTCGAGGGAAAAGGACTAGCACAAAAACCGGCCGCTACAGGGAACGCGAGCTGCGGAGGAAATCAGGCAATTCGCAGCCCTTATCGGTTTAAGCTGTAGCAGCCTGTGTTGTCACCGTACAACACACTGTATCATTACCGCACCAATGCAGAGCCTGAAGTAATCGCTTGGAGATGTTGTAACCCATATCGTGCGATGCCGATCCAAGACCAAGTCTGAAAGTGATGCAGTGGCGTGTACCACGCCAACGCTGAACCAATACCGTACCTGAAACATGTCAAACACGGCAAGATGCAGCGGCGCGGTAATAGTACCGAACTTGAAGTAAACCGCCGCAATGATCCCGGACCTGAAAATAAGCTGCCACAATGGTACCGAACCTGAAATAAATTGCCGCCAAGGTCTCGAATATGAAATGAACTACCGCAGTCGTCCCTGACCTGAAAATAAATCACCGTAGAGGTTCCGAACCTGAAATAAATCGTCACAGTGGTCCCGGACCTGAAAATAAGTCACCGCAGAGATTCCGAACCTGAAATAAATCGCCGCGAGGGCGTCGAACCTGAAACGAAACACCGCGATGCCACCGAACCTGACCAAACCCAAAATCCAGTACCGGGCTGCTGTGCCACGCGGATGTCGAACCCGTACAACCATGCCATGATAATTCCGTACCTGTCCCGAACCTGATATAGAATGCCGCAACGTTTCCGGACCTGAAAACAAACTGCCGCCAAGGTTCCAAACCTGGAATAACTGTCGTAGTGGCCCCGGCCCTGAGAATAAATCACCGCAGCTGTGCCAAACCTGAAAATAAGTCACCGTAGTGAAACAACTGTCACCGGGCCCATACCGTACCTGAAGCACGCCAGACACCGTAGGACGTAGCCACTCCGTAACAACCCTCGTATCCGTACCGAACCAAACACCATAGTCGACCCAAGGTAGCACCACCCCATGCTGTCCATGCGACTCCCGCTCTCAGAACATCCCAACTGCGATAATGTTAGTAATCAAGCAAACCAGGGAAAGCGATGCAGGGAACCTCGACCATCGGCAGTAGTGAAAACTGTTAAAATCTGGGGAAGATATTCAATCCGGGGTCAGAGCTGATGGCGGGTAATCGAGGCGAAATTAGGCCAATCTCCCAATAGTCATGGATTCTCGTCCCTTTCATCGTTTTTCATCATTCTTCCCTTTCCTTAATTCTATTGTCGGAAATAGTAAATTAACCATAAGTTCCCCAAAATTTAATTCCGAGAAAGTTTAAATAAATGGCCGAATTCCTTTTGTTTCTTTTCTCTTTTACCATTTTTAATTTTTTTCTATGTCTTTAATTTCATTGCCGAAAACATAAAATAACAAGGGTATTCCCCCTTGAATTAAATGCCGTGAAAAATAAAAAAATTAAGGGATATTATGTTTTTCCCTTCTCCCCTACTGGTCTTAATCCCTTTTCCCCATCTTTAATTACGGTACTAAAATAGACAAAAATTCGAGGCCTCATTTCGGCCCCGGTCGTATGCCACAAAAACGTTGCGGCGAGGTCAGTTCCCGCGATGCCTCTCCGCGGCAGGCCAATCCGAGTCTGAACGGCCGGAAATGACGGTCCCTAGATGCGCCGAGTGCGGCCACCCATCTCGCCATCTTTGAGGGTTACTCGTAAGGTTCAGTGCACCCAAAATCAGGGGTGCCCTGAGCTCCCCTAATTTCTGCTGCCTGGTCATACCAGAGTACCGTCAAAACACGGACTTGTCCCTGAGCCTAAGCCCCAAAGCCGCAGATTTCAGGCGGCGCACTGCTTGTGGCCGCATGACACCGTGTTTGACCCAGTTCTTCCAGGGGGGGGCTGAGCTAATCATCACGCGGCCCCTCATGTCTGTCAGCCATCTGTTACCGAATAGGGGTTGTCGATAGACTTCCTCCCACCGATCGGGCCGGGTTTTGTCCGAGAGCGGGAGTTTGCGTCACGTTTGCAGCAGTGCAGGCCAAAAGGTGTCATGTGGTTGGCTTCTTTCCTCTGGCCTGTCATAAGGGAGATCAGGGAGTCTGCGCGGGATTCGCCAAAAGCAGTCTTCCAACCAAGTGAGCGGGTGGGTAGTGTAGGGAGTTGTTGGGGCCAGCCTAGTCGGTTGTTCTAGAGCCAAGCCGCACCAAGGGCTCTGGGGGTCAAAAATGAGTTTCTTGATCCATTTGACTCTTAATGCTTGCACTTACGTGGCTGGGTCGACGATTCTCAAACCTCCCCCTGCTTTTGGTTGGATGATGGAGTCCCAGGCTACCCTGCTGATCACATTGGGTTGCTCCCCATCCCCCCTCCACAGGAAAGTTATTGTCTTTTGCTTAAGTCCTCTTAGAGCCTCGTTGGTTAGGGGCCACAATAGTGATTTATACCATAGGGATGCAAAAATGACATTGTTGAGGACTAAGGCTCGACCGAAGAGGGATGTGTGTTTGTTCCTCCAGCTGTCTAATTTGTGTTGAGCCGGGGAGCTAATCCATTCATCATTGATTGGTGACCGTCCCTCTGCAGTCATGGAGACTCCCAGAACTCTTATTGGGGATTCCAGATGCTTCCACGCAATACGTGAGACTTCTGGAGAACGTCCTCCTTGATAATGGATCCACCATCCCTGTGTCTTAGACCCCCAGTTGACAGACATGTCTGAGACCTTGGAGAACATCTCCATCATACGGCGAATTTCCTCCATATTACGGTGTGTGGCCTCCGCCATGATTGTGAGGTCATCTGCAAACAAGAAGCATATCGGGATAGCTTCCTCGGGACTATCAGTGATTCAAATTTTTGTAATGTTTTTATTTGCTCGGTGATTGGTAGCTAAGGCCTCCATGATAACAAGAAAAAGGAAGGGAGCAATGGGGTCTCCCTGGCGGACCGAACGTTCTAGGCGCAGTGGTGGTGCAAGGCTTCCGTTGACCTGGACACATGTGGTATCGCTCTGGTGTAGGATCTGTATCCATCGTCTGAAGTCCAGTCCGAAGTTCTCTTTCTCAAGGCACTTATCTAGGAGCAGCCAGTCTACGTGGTCGTAGGCCTTTTTAAAATCGATGAAGATTAGTGTCGCATTTTGACGAGAGTGCCTTGTAAGCTGGAGGATTTCATGGATCAACAGGATGTTTTCCTGTATGTTCCTATTTTCCATGAAGACTGTTTAAGCAGGGTGGATAATATACTCCATTATCAGGATCATACGGTTAGCCAAGGCTTTCGACAACATTTTGTACACAACTGTAAGGAGTGTTATTGGTCTGTAATTTCTGATGTCCATTTTATCACCCTTTTTGTAGAGAAGAGTCAGGACCCCTTGGCAAACCCTTTCTCCCATTTCTCCCGTAAGCCAGACTTCGCTATAGAAGTCCATAACATCCTGATTCATAAAGTCCTATGTGGTTTCCCAAAATTCTTTGGGGAAGCCATCTATCCCGGGAGCCTTTTCCTCCTTTATCCCGCCCATCGGACTCTAATGAAGGCCATGCGAGCGAGACGACCCCCAGGCCTGCCACACACCCCTGGCCACGAACCTCCCCATCTTCCCCCCCCAATCCCCTCCCCCCATTCCGCTGC